TGCAGCCGGGACGCCGCGCGTGCCGGAAGGGAGTGAGTGTTGCTGCGGGGCCGCCTGGGGCAGGCGGGGCTCCAGCGGGAGCGGCCCGTCCCGGGGTGCGGGGCTCGCCCTCCTCCGCTCCGCGCTCGCCTCCTTCCCGGCCCTCTCCGCCGCGGGAGCCCGCTCTGCCTCGGCCCTGAGAGTCGCTTCCGCCCACTGGTGCTTCCCGAGGGTCGCTTGTTGCTGGAATTTCGCGCTGAACTAGTGAAATGACTAGTTTGCAGTCGTGCGGAACACCGTGTGCTCAGCAGACAGCGCCTTGGAAAGACCCCGGCGGCAGCTTTTGGTTATCCCCAGGCAAGCCGTGACTTAGTGCTTTTATAGCTAGTGAGCGTGCATAGGATAGACCCCAGCTGTGTAAGATACAGAACACTGCGGTGATGTTTAAGACGTTAGCTTGGGATCTTTTAACGATTCTTTAATACGTAGCAAATGTCATGCAAATGACTGTTTTTCTTTCTTTTTTTTCTTTTTTCCGGTTCCGGAAATCGAACTCACGACCTTGCGCTTGCCAGGCAGGCGCTGTGCCGCTGAGATAAATCCCCAGCCCGACTGTTTTTCTTGATCCTGTCGCCAACAGGTGTCCTCCTCCTCACTGCCGAGGGACCCTGACTCCGTTGCATAGAACAGTGGTGTGACCTGGACTGTTACTTTCACTTGTGGAGCGTGTGCACTTTGGTTGAGTACAGTGTTAACTTCGTCTTGGGGACCTTAATGCTTTCACTCGTCCTTCCTTATCGTAAATGAGGACCCCTCTCCCTCCTCCCCAGAAACTCAGGACCAGTCTTGGACTTACTAATGGCCTCCCACTACAAGGTAGGGCCTTGATTTTCTGTGGTGCACCATGATCTCAAATGGAGGTCTTTTGTGAGGCCAGGCCTTCGAATTGAATAAACAGCCCAGATATTTGCACACTGAAGTTTCCAAGCCAGCATGTAGACAGCACCTTATACTTACGCAGCCTTAGAACTTTCTTCTCCTGCCTCCAAGCCAGAAGTCGGCGTCAGGTGATCAAGTCTGTACCACTTTGGAAATTGCTATACTAACGCTTCACTTGCTAGCTTCCTGCTAGGGGCAGTGTGTAACTAAACAACCTCTACCGTTACTGCCCTATTGTCAGTCATCTTTTAATTTTCAGGGAGAAAGAAAACAGTAGTAAGTTTCAAGCTTTATCTTACAAACGGAACGTTTTTGAAGGATTCAAATTAGGGTTAAATTTAGGAAATAAGGAAAAAAATAGTTTGGACCTTGTTATGTATGTGTAAGTATTGCTCAGTACACAGACAATTCGAAGCTGTACTTAAATGTTTTTTATAGTATTCAGAATGTGGAGAGTTAATTTCAGTGAGAAATGCACTATCTTACTCTGTTAGCAACATTCATTAATAAGTATTTGTTGCAGTGGTCCTGAGCAAGTGTTTTTGGAAATTAAAAAAAAAAATAAGTTTATTGACAGGTTTTCTAGATTTTTTTTATTAGAGAATAACAATTTCAAATTTCAGAAGGTAATGTTGAATTACTCAAAAGAAAATGGGCTGGAGTTGTTGCTGAGGGGTGAAGCACCTGCCTAGCATTTGTGAAACCCCGGTTTTGAAATCAGCGCCACACACACACACACACACACACACACACACACCCAGTACCACACACACACAGAGGCAAAGTAGTTCTACATTTGTTATATTGAAATGTTTTTTTTTTTTTTATTTCCAGAAATCTTACTTTGTATTCGCTTTTTGTATCAGCTTTTCTGTCATAGGACAAAATATCTGACACCCAGACTTAAAGGAAAGGTTTAATTTGGCTCATAGTTCCGAGTTCATGGTTGCGTGGCTCTAAAGCATGGCGGAAGGGTGTGTTGGAGCAAAGTTGAGCCCCAGGGAGAGATCTGCCCTCCAAAGGTGCACTCCCAGCGACCCACCTCCACCTGGCCCAGGCTCCAACCAGCACACTCCCCTGTGAACATCACTGGATTAACCCACTGATGGATATATCACCCCCATGATATAATCACTGATCTTAATCCCATCAGGTTGACAATTAAGATCAAATTATTATGATTATTGTCTCTTTACTAGGTTAACCTTTCTTCTATGAAGAGTTTTTTGCTCCTGGACATGATTTACTGGCTTACAGAGCTCACTTTTGGGAAGAAACCTTAGAACATTACCTGGCCTAGCACGTAGACATGTGAAATATTAGCCATATTGTGTGTTGTTTAACCAGTTCCTCATTCATGATTATTTAAATAACAAAAATAGATGAGGGACTTTAATTCAGATCTGCTAAGTAGGAAAATTGCTGCAAAGTAATCTATAAGTTCTTTTTGGAGAAAAATCCTGATTAGGAGACCTCACAGGAAATACAAAGATGAAGAATCTGTACCTCTTGAGGAGCTGCCATAGTTCATAGTATCAAAAATAAACTCTGCAGCCCTGTACTCCCGTGTCCCACTTAAATCTGTGCTTTCACTGGGGTCTTTCCACCCGTGTGAGCCTGTGTGAATTAACACCACACAGTGGAGTGCTTTGGTGTGTGTCTAGACGCTAAGGATTTAAGTGGCATCCCCTTCAGTCTTGCAGCGGAAGAGCAAGGTGCTCCGGCTACACCATGGCACCACCCCCATAATCAACAGTCTTGAGTCACAATGGTCTTGCTTAAAATATGTGCTTGATTGAAGAGAATGACCTTTCCAAATAGAAATCTTCCACCCAAGCCCTCTTTGTGGAAAAATTAATGCCCAGCAAAATAAGAAATCTGTTACAGAAGAATGAGAAACATATTAATGCAAATAAATATTAATAAAAGTGGGTATTCATCAAATGCCCTAGGGTGGGCATTAATTAAGGGAGTCTTCAGCATATTAATAAATAGGCAGACTTTATAATATTCCACAGTTGTTTTCTATGCACCCAGTGAAGCAGCCGTGGAAAGTTTCCCAAAAGCCAGGGGTGGGCAGTGCACTTCTGCAATCCCAGCTTTCTGCAAGGTTGAGACAGTAGGACTGAAAGTTTGAGTCCTGCTTGGGCAACTTACTGACTCAGTGGGACCCTCTGTCAAAAATGAAAGTTCAAAAAGAGCTGGGGATGCAGCTCAGTGTAAAAGCCCTAGGTTCAGTCCTCCCTAGGTTCAGTCCTCCCTATGCCCCATCCCGCCAAGTGTCCTCAAATCCTCTAGCTTCTTGCTTTCTTCCCATTGCTGCAATAGAAATAGGTGCAGGACGGTGTGGATCTATAAAATGACTTGGTCTGGGAGACATAGGCTTTCTGAAGCAGCCTCGAAAGTCTCAGAGAGTGACTAGAACAATGAAAGAGGTATCTAAGTGGGCAGAAAGCACAGGAGAGGAAGCTATGTTCCAGGATTAGCAGGGATGAGGACACTAGACAAGTAAGATAGGGTTCGCATGGTCTAGTTTAGAGGCTGGTAGAGTTTGATCTTTATCTTTGATCTTGAGATCTTTGGGAAGCTGTCACAGGATTTCAGTCAGAGAGGAATTCTAGGGACATCTCTGTATTGGAATGGTGAACAAAAGAGAATCAGCATGGGAAGAGCATGGGCCTTGGACTTTTAAGAGTAGCTAGGCATGAACGAATGAGGAGTGATGATGAGGCATGTTGAAAGGAGGTAGTTAAGTGTGCTGGAAGAGTGGTCCAAAGGCCTTGGACATCTTCCCATCAGCCTGCTAACCTCATCTGTTTCCAAGATGGCCAACCTTTAAGGGATGTTCCGAAGATTTATACATTATGAAGTGACACCCCTTGGAAGAGTCAAGACTCTTTGAGAAATTACACCTTAGTGTGAATAATTTAAATTTGATTATTAGGTACATTTCTCTTGAAAGCCCTCCCTGGTGTTATCTTTAGTTTAGGTAAGAGAATCTCTTATTAAGCCAGTTAACTCCCCAATTACTAGAGGAGAGCCGAGGAAGGGAACTTTCCTAGAGATCCCTATCTTTGGCCTCGCCTTTCCTGCCTATGGGAAGAGGAAGAGGAAGAGGAGGGGAGACACACCACCATGGCTGGGAAGCTCCACGCGTCATATGGCTTATGTGGGTTGGCTTCTCATTGTGCACTCAGAGACCCAGGGCAGAAATCGTCTCTTGGTTCCATTTCTCACACTTTTTTTTTTGTCTTTTTGAGACAGGGTCTCGCTATGTAGTTCAGGCTGGCCTTGAGCTGACTTTGTAGCCCAGGCTGGTCTCGCACTTGCAACAATCCTTCTGCCTCAGCCTCCCGAGTGCAGGGATTGCAGGCGTGTGCCACCACGCTTGGCCATTTCTCACACTCTTGTGTCTCCAACTGGTCCTGCAGCCTTGAAGCTGGGAACCTTAGCCTGAGAGTTCTCTTTGAGATGCTCAGTCTCTCTTCTCTTTTGTTAATCTTGATTTAACGTCAGAAATTGGGAATTATTTTTAAGATGACAATTCTGCTGGTTTTGGTGAGATAGCATTTTCAGAGCATGAGGTAGACTTAGTCAGCTCCAAACTCTGCTCCAGGGAGCAGATGGTTGCCCCAGGCGATGCTCAACCAGCTATGTGCTTATTGCCAAAGCCCTGTTCCTAGGGGAAAGAGGGTTGGTTAGTGAGTCCATAACTCATCTGTATCCCAGAAAGGAGTATTCTGGCCCATTCTCTTGGAGCCTTCTGGATTCATCCTGCAGGCAATGGTGGAACAAAAGGAGCCTCCCTCCTGGAGTACCTTTATGTTGGACCACCGTGCTCTCTGCAAGGCCATCTGTCCCACCAGAGGAGGGAGCTGCTGTCTGGGTGACAGGCTCCTGGGTAACTAATACATACTAGGTGGACTGTTCCATTGTAAATACATGTTGCCGCATGTTATAAATTAAAATACATATTGGGATCTACTCTTTTTTTTTTTGGTGTTTTTGAGACAGGGTCTCACTATGAAGTTCAGGCTGGCCTTGAGCTCACTTTGCAGCCCAGGCTGGTCCCAAACTCGCAATAATCCTCCTGCCTCAGCCTTCCGAGTGCTGGGATTACAGGCATGCACCACCATGCCCCGCTGGGATGTACTCTTTTTAAATGGTACTTAATCACTGCTTGGTCCCTGAGACCCCACTACACTTTCGGCTTTGGGAATATAACCTAAGATGAGATTCTCTGGATGCAATTCATAACCTTGAATTCTGCTGTTGAGATGATATGGCTATATAAAGATTTTTAAAAGGCCCTACAGTTAACTTGAGCTCTATGGTAATGGTAAAAATATCCAAAACTCTATCCTCAGATTCTCTCCCCAGCTTTTGTTTTCCTTTGGCCCTAACTTTTTGTGTTCTTAAAAACCTGTCACTGTTCTGTCATCTCTTTCCTTTCTGCTGATCTTGGAATTAGGTGACCAGATTTCTGGTAGAAACCTTCATATTGCCAGTTACTTAAACTTGCTGAGGCTGTTACCTTATTTGTGGGAAGTCTGAATAATAATGCCTACCTTGTCTAGTTTATAAAGTGATTATAAGTAAGATTAACGGAATGGTAGGCCTAAAAAAAATCTTTAAAATGATATAATTAAATTCTGAGTTAAGGTGGTAATACTTCATTACTTAATCTGGGTTACATTAATTACAGTTGTATTACAGCCGTACTAACAGCTGTATTAAGTTGTTGGTGCACATAAAATGAGCATTTGATAACTTTCCTGTTGTGCAAGGGAAAAATATTGCATTAACATTTATTATTCACTACAAATAAACAGACTTGGGAAGATTTAGTAATGTGTCCCAATTTATGTTATGCATAAGTGACAGAACCAAAATTGGACGCCACTGTGTTAGTTCTGCATTTTATATGGATGACAGCTGCTAGCATCTACTGTGTAGAAGTTAATGTTCATTTCGACTTCGTGGAGATTTATGTTCCTTTTTTCTCTAATATCTCAGAGAAAGCTATTTTATACAGGCTTTTTTTCCCTCCTCCTACCTGTGGTTCATGCAGCTAACCTGTGAGAGTTAGCACTGTCTGGTAGGAATTTTACGCTACTAATGTTCAAAAATAGAAAATACATAAACTTCAGAGCCACACTGATTTTGCTTAGTGCATTTCAAAGTTAAGTTCTTGCAAAAATAAGAATTGAGATGTTATGTATATGTACCAATTCCCTGTGATGAGTGTAATTATTATGTACTACAAACATGTACTAATGGTAAACAAAAAGCACCTACTGCCGTGCTATGAATTTTAAGGAACCCCAATTTAAAAAAAAGTTAAGATCTTGGAAAAGTTACTTTACTGTCTTCACATTTAGTTATCTTTCACCTTTAAAGATGAGGATAACAGTTCCTGCTTCATGTGAGGATAGAATAAGCTCATGGGTGCTATGTACTTAGGAAAGGCTTTGCTCATAATAGGTCACTCACTAAGTACTTACTGACTTCCTTTTGTTTGCCATTTTTCTTGTTGAAGTTTTAGTTAATGAGGAACAACATTTTATATAAATTCAACTGCGTTTTACACCTAAAGGTATAATGAGCGCCATATTTCAATAAAAGAGAAATAAACATTAGGCATTTATTGTGTGCCATGATCTGAAGTAAGTATTTTGCGAATCTTATAGTATTGTTCACTAACTCTGATTAGGTACTGTTCATACCTGTTGTGGAAATTGTATTATGTAGAAGCTAGGTTAAGCCATGTGGGGAGTTGAGATTTGAGTCCTGGCAGACTGATGCTAAAGCCCATTCTTATGGTTTCTGTAGTTTTGTAATTCTATAGATAAAAGAAGAAAATACACTTTGGGTAATTTCTGAGAGCAAGAGTCATTGTGGTGGCAAGAGAAGACAATATGTATGTATGTATGTATGTATGTATGTATGTCTTTTTGAGGCAGGGTCTCGCTATGCAGTTCAGGCTGGCCCTGAGCTCCCTTTGTAGCCCAGGCTGGTCTCAAACTCACAACGATCCTTCTGCCTCAGCCTCCCGAGTGCTGGGATTACAGGCATGTGCCACCACGCCCGGCCTAAAATTATGGATTTAAAAGTAAATCAGAGCCACAAGAGAGGAACATACTTTTAAAATCCAGTTTTTTCAGCAGAGTTCTGTCTTACTTTTAGAGTTCTAATTATATCTTTTAATTTTCCATCCCAAGAACATGTGGCTCTGGCTTAGAACCAGGCCTTTGGTGCACTGTGCAACTCACTTTAGCCCAACTATGAATTTCACAGGTCCATTTGCCCGCCACATTGGATATACAGAATCTTGGGAGTAAAAGGCATCCTGTGGAACCATTCAGTGCCTTTAAAAAATTCCTTTAAAAGGTCCTCTGCTTCAAATACGGGAAACCCTAATCTTGTTGACCAAACAACCCCGTGCTTTATTGCACTGGCTGTAATAGAATTAACAAATAAACAAATAATTGGATTTCTCTAGCTTGTGGCTAAAAGTGGTTTCCTTGGGGTATACTGGGCCAGTTGATCTTTATCCACTTTTGTTCAAAGCCTGAGTCTTTACTGTTTTCCTAATTTTTATGGGAGTGGGTGGGTGGTCCTGGTACTTCCTTTCTTTTCTTGCAGGGCTGGGATGAGGCCTGGGGCCTCCTGTATGCTAAGCAAGCGCTCTGCCTCTGAGCTGCATCACAGCCTCTGGTCCTGGTGGTTCCTTTCAACTTCTCCACTCCTTTGAAACCTAGATAGGAGGGGGCAAGTTTACATAAATGACCTCTGGAATTAAATGTTCTGATGCCAGAAAAAATGAAAAGGAAATAGAATTCTTGATTTTGGGTCCTGCCTGTAGAGTTGGCACACTCTCTTGGGCTGGGTGGCTTCAAGCAAGTCACTTCACACCCCGGTCTCAGTTTCCTTTATCTGTGAGTGAGGTATTAGGATTCTGTGATCCCAAATTTTAAATCTTTTGTGTTCCTGTGTGCTAGCCCTATAAGAACCACATTTACTCAGTCTTCTGCAGCATGGCTGAAAGATTATCTATTCATTTGTTACAGAATTTGTTGATGCCTTCTTGCCTGAAGAATCTCCAGCTGCTCTGATGATGGCTTAAGAGGACTGCATGCTGTTCCCTCTCCATGCCACCCCAGGCCCGCTCGGAGCTTCAGATCTCAGTCCTTCATGGAGACCAGGTCCCAGCAGGGATGGCAGTGCAGGAAATTGGCACCCAGATGGTTCCTCCACATGAAGTCGTCTTGGGCTATGAGCTGACTCAAGGACACCTGGTAGCCCGGCCAGCCCTCTGTCAGTCACCCGAGGCCAGGCAGCATGGTGTGCATTCAGAGGAGGAAGCTTTTGGCGTCCTGCCTATTCATGACAGCTACTGTCTTTCTGCTTGTCACACTCCAGGTACCAAAGATTTGGGTAGCATAGTGTGGATTTATTCCTGGCGTTTGTTATCTTCTACTTCCATTCTTATAAAACTTCAAGAACATTACTTTTTCGCTTAACCCTTTAGGATCAGGGACTTTCAGTAGTATAAGGCGAGGAAAAAGAATTTTTTAAAAAAACAGGTCAAATTGAAGTTTATTGAACAAGTGTGCCAGATAGAAACAACATCATTGGGGTAGGACGCCAGCTTGTGACTTGCGGAGCGCTGGCTCGAGTGAGACAGAAACTATAGCTCACTTTATCTTATTGGGTCAGTGCTGGTGGCTCCTTCGGAATCTCTGGTGGTCACTGCTTCTGAAAATGTCAGTTTTGAGGAAGCAAGGACTACTCTGAGAATAGTGTCTGGAAGATACTCTGTATCTTGTGATAAATACAGAATACATACAACCACATGAGTAAATTTCTTCACATGTGATCGGATCACGGACTATATTAGGGTGAATGAAGTGAAGCCTTTCTCTAGTCTTCCTACTTATTCTTACAGTGTTTTTTATTTTGTTTACTAATATAAAATTAAAATAAAAATCCCACAGTGATAAAGGTATATATGTTAGAGATATTCTTCCTCTCTGCAAGTACCAGCTATTCATTTCACAATCTGAAGGACTTTTACAGATGGTTCATGGATGTGAGTATTTCAGGGGTGAGACTGATGGAAGCTAAAGTGTTCTCTGGGCTTTTAACTCTGCAGCAACTCCCTTTTTCTGATCCGGGTGGAGTAACAGAAAGCTCCTAGAGCAGGTTGGGAATCTGGTCAGAGGAAACATTTGACTGCTTCCTTGTCTGTCTTGGAGATGCCTGGAGCCTGCCGTGCAGGAGGAGCTGGGGTTGTCTGCTTCTCTCTATGGGAAGTTTCAGGGGTGCTTTGATCTTCCCGGGCATTTGCTGTGGCACTTTGTCCAGTTCTGAGAAATGCCTATGTCTAAGCTAAGGGCTCGCCTTTTGAATAAATTTCCATGGTTTTGAAGTGCATGTCAGTTCTAAGTTTCCATAGCTTAAGGAGCCGGCATGAATCTTGGAGCTAAACCGTAGTCTGGCCCGGTTTTGGTTTTGCCGCCAATCACTTTCTGCATCCGCACTGGCACGTTGAGTTCAGCATGGTGGTGATGTTATCCTAAAAAATTCCTTGAAAACATTTACCAGTGAACAAAGAGTGCTTATGAATTCAGAGCCACACCCATTCTTAACGTTTTATGGAGTAGGCAGATAAAATAATTCGCCACTATAAGTAGGATAAAGCAGAGATAAATTAAAAAAAATAAATCATGTTATGGATCCTCTATTGGCTTTCTAAGACGGTCCTAAAAGTACTACAGGATGGGTAGCTTAAACAACAGGCATTTCTTTTCTCGCAGTTTTAGAGGTTGAGGAGTTCACATCAAGGTGTTAGCTGGTAGTGTCTTCTGAGGTCCCTCTTCCCTCGCCTTGACTATTTTCTGTCTGTACCTGTCCATGTCCAAATGTCCCTTTTTTATGAGGACCCTAGTTATATTGGATTGGGGCTCTAATGATCTCACTTAACCTAATTAAAGGCCCAGCCTCCAAATATAGCCATATGCTAAGGTACTAGGAGTTAGGGCCTCAATGTATGAATTTTGGGGGTATACACCTCAGCCCCCAACTCTTCTATAACGTAAATTACTTAGTTAATGATCAGCTAAACATGAAAATATAATGGGTATCTAAAATTAAGCTGAAAGATTGTTCTCTGGAGGAAATCGTTCATTTTAGACTGTTTTTCATCTACTTTTAACTATTTATATAGTATCTCTATATATAGTATCTACAAATTATTTGGGTATATTATATATATATCATCTTTATTTTTGAATTTTACTTACTGTTGCACAAATTTTCAAGAATTTTGGAATTTTTCAAAGCAAATCCTAGACATTGCATTTCACCTGGACATATGTTAATGCGATTTTCTAACACATAGAAACATTTAAATTTTCATGTAACCACGTTATTCATCTCTTACCCAACCAAATTAACAGTAATTACTCAATAACCTCTATATCCTGGAATGTTAAATTTTTCCTAGTTGTCTTAAAAGAGCCTTTTTATAGTAGGTTAGTTTGAATCTGGAATAAACAAATCCCACACATTGCCTTTGGTTGTTGTATCTCAAGTTTTGTTTTTTCTTTTGGAAATTTCTTTTGTTCTCCTCTTTGTTTGATGTCATGGATTGCTTCAAAAAATGGGCCTCTTTGTCCTTTTGAATTGTCTAAATTGTGGATTTGGCTGATTTTGTCCTCATGGTTTTAATATTTTCTTCTATCTGCCTCTATGTTTCTTACAACTGGTAGTGCTCTCTGTGGATAAATATATTTTATTTTATTTTTATTTTAAAGAGAGTAGTAAAAGAGACAAATATATTTTAAAAAGCTTTTTGGCAGAAAAATCTCATCACCCAGTCCTTATTATTTGTAAGTGAACGTGTACCTCACATAGGAGACATTGATCAGAAGTGTGGAACAAATGTTATCTTTGAAGTTATATCCTGTGGCTTTTTAAAAGCCTTCATTTTTTAAGTTGCTGGTAATTTGCAGGAGAAGGTCAAATGAAGATGGTTTGGGGTTATAAGTCAGCTCTGTTCCATCAAGCTGCTGGGGAAGAGCCATCTTATTATATTATAAAAATGCTGAGAAGGCGATTGGCAAGAGTTAGACTAGTTTTCAGGACTCCTTTGCTGTTTTAATGCAGACTCTGGTGTCAGAGGTGATCTGTGATTTTATTAAAAGCAAATATACTTTCTTACTCCTTTTGGAGTACTGCTTATTGGCTTTCACTCAGTGGTTCTTAATATTTTTAGGGGCCTTGGGTACTTTTGGGAATCTAAAGACAGTTAGGGGCTCTCCCCAGGGAGTTACAGACTTGGTTGCTACAGCAGGGGTCAGTGGCTCTCTTCCCACGTCTGGGAGTCACACGTGGAAAAGGCCTGGCCCCGGGTGGCTAAGAGTAGGGCCCAACAGGGAAGGCTGTCTTTGGCTGGCAGAGGAGTTAGTGGT